ACATACACAAATATATATATATGTACTGGAAGTGGGATGTAGTTCCAGTACACAAATTATAATACGTGGATGTAATTTTAGGACGTACAACATTCTGGATCGCCACGTCACTGCATGCAGAGTGAAAGTGGGATGCGATTTCAGCACCCAAAGTATATAAGTGGATTTGATTTTAGGGCGTACAACGTTTTGGTTCGTCACATTATATGCAGGAGGTGCAGCCGATGGGTATAAGGAAGATGATTGTGAGTTGTGAGTGCGACAGTACATATGTTTAACTAGATGAATAGGGTTTAGGGTTTTGCTGACGGGATCGTTTCCATTGTTAGTTGGTGTGTATAGTCAATCTACGCAGATTTCGGGGTTTAACGTTTAACGTGTAGACTACCCCTCATTCGAAAGGATGCTTCATAGTCGACCTCTATATACATAAATACATGTACATCTAATACGTATACGTAAACTGACCCTCCAGGCATCCATACCATAATCACGTAAAGACACTTGGCGACTAGGAATACGTAATCGTGCGCCACGAATCTAGGACCATGGCTAGTACGAACGTCATACGATTTACACAAACGTATACGCAAACAATATACGCAATACGTAAACTCACCCTCCAGGCACGAATTCCATAATCAAGTACAGGAACTTGGCGTCTTGGAATGCGTAGTCGAGTGTGATGATCCACGGACTGTCAATGTTTCGCGCCATGACATCACGCTCTTCCCAGTAATACGTTTTCTCCAACTGGCGGCAGATCTCAACCTGCGCCAAATAAGGCAATTGCGCGCCAGACAGTATATGTGGAGTTAGTAAACGATTTAACGGGAGATAGGCAGGTTTGTGTGTAACTCCAAGTAGGCGAGCTAGATAATATCGTGAAACGTAAACTCCGATTTGCGGCCTAGTTCTTAGAGGAAGTATGGGAGTGTTACGATGATCCGGTGAATGCCACAGAATTAACCGCCAACATTTGTCATGGGATCACATGCAACTGTGCATAGTGAATGTACGTTCGTTAGTAGGTACTCAGATATGTTCAAACTGTAAATATGCACCTTAACCAGCAGCTTCATGGTATGTATATGACCTAAACCTATCTATCTAATTCATTTTCCATACCAACCTCACGTGCACACTAATTTGTATCTACATACTCCTATATATATATATATATTATAATATAACAACATAACACAATATAATATAATATAATATAATAAAATATAATATAATAATATATAATAATATGTAGATATTTATATATATATATATATTATAATATAACATAATTAATATACATTATAATATAACATAATATAATATAATATAATATAATATAATATAATAATGATATAATATAATATAATATAATATAATATAATATAATATAATATAT